TAACTCTCTTTAATTCTATCAAGGCTGAGAGGTGACAAACCTGCGAAGAAAAGATGGAAACTTGCAGTGATTGGTTCATGAGGTTTAAGAAAGCATGTAAAAACAGATTTTAAATGCAGATGAGGCAGGGCACGGAGGCTCACGCCTATGATCCCAGCACTGTGGGGGGCCAAGGTGAGTGGATCACGAGGTCAGGAGTTCAAAACCAGCCTAGCCAAGATGGTGAAACCCCATCTCTACTAAAAATACAAAAATTAGCCAGGCACGTTGGCGGCTTATGCCTGTAATCCACCTACTCGCGAGGCTGAGGTAAAAGAATCACTTGAACCTGGGAGGCAGGTAATTTTGATGAGCAGGGTTATGCAACTGGTGACTTTCAATTGAAGCCAGTGCTCCTTTTTACCTTTTCAAAAATCACAGGTCCCTTAAAAACTATGTTAAGTATGCTCTGCCTATGTGTAAGAAATGGAACAACAAAGCCTAGATGACGGCACATCTATTTACAGCATTATTTACAGCATGGTTTACTGGATATTGTCAGCCCACTGTTGAGACCTACTGAGCAGGAAAAAAACAAAGACTCCTTTCTAAATATTACTGCTCATGGACAAGATACCTAGTTACCAAAGAGCTCTGATGGGGAGTCAAAGGAGATTAATGTTTTCATGACTGCTAACACCACATCCATTCTTCAGCCCACGAATCAAGGAGTAAATCCAACAATCAAGACTGCAATTTTACCATAGAGAAACCTGCAAACACCACCACCTTAGGAAATGATCAAAGCACATATCACCAGTAGTGGGACAAAACAAATCATCTGCTTTCTGATGTGATGCACTGAGAAGAACAGTGTATTTTCTGTAGTATTACTGCCAAAAATGCATTACCCTACTCATCAAAACTACCAGTGACGGATCGTCAAAAAACATCGACACTAAAACAAAAATTGAGAAACGAGACTAGATTTCAGGTTACTAAACAGACACAACAAAATGTAACACATGACCTAAGATTTTCTTTTGCTATGAAAATTATCAGGACCACTCACTGGTAAAAATCGGAGTAAGATCTGCAGACCTGATCATAACATTACGTTGTTGTTTATTGTCTCTTTTTTTTTTTCCTTTTTCTTTTTTTTTTTTGGAGACAGTGTCTCGCTCTGTCACCCAGGCTAGAGTATAGTGGCACCACCATGGCTCACTGCAGACTCGCCCTCCCAGGCTCAAGCAATCATCCCGCCTCAGCCTCCAGAAAAGCTGGAACTACAGGTGTGTCACCACCCCCAACTAATTTTTTTGTTCTTATTTTTTTTGCAGAGGAGGTAGTCCCCTATATTGCCCAGACTGGTCTTGAACTCCTGGGCCCAGGCAATCCTCCCATGTTCATCTCCCAAAGTGCTGAGAATTACAGGCATGAGCCACTGCACCCAGCCTGATTTTGATAATTGTATCACTTGATATCAAGAGGCATATGTACAACTCACTGTCAAAAGGATTAAAACATATTCATACATACAGGAGAGTGATAATATTCAGAGTGGTGAACACAAAGGAATTTTTTATTATTCTTAGAACTTTACGTTTGAAATTATATTAAAATAAAAAATTTACGCCTTGCAAATAGGAAGCACTCAATAATTTTTTTTAAGTTTAATTTCCCCAAATCCTCAAATTAATTGATGCTTCCAGAAGGCAGAGTTTCTGCTCTGAAATCACGCTGCTAACTTTTTATATAAACGTGGGAAAGTTACTGAAGCCCCGTATCTATACCTCAGTTTCCTCATTTTTAAAAGAGATTATAGGAGTGCCTTAATTCCTACTTGTTGAAATGATGAAATTAGATAACGTGTAAAACATTTAGAACAGTGCCCTCCAGGCATTAAAATGCATTAATGTTTAGCCCTTTTTATGGCACTTCCTACGTACTGATTCTTTGATTTTGTATATCCTTGATAATAACTCATGTATTTCCACATCAATAATGATAATGCCACTACATACCACCCTAGCCTTTCTAGAATGACCTTATGTATAACCGTTTTCCCAAGGGAAGCTATTCAATGTCTACTATGTTAGGCAAATTCAAGGAACTTGAGGGGGAGACGATGGAAAAGAGCTGCATAGTAAAATAGTTATTTCCACAGTAGGGTACTAAACCTTCCTCCCAAAGGCAAAGTCTATAACCCTTTATTCCAAACCATGATATAACCTGACTATCCAATTGCTTAAGTCATACAATGGAAGTTACACACAGAAGCTTCGGAGTAAATATATATATGCAGAAAAAGAAAAAAGAAAAAGGTCAGCCAGCATAAAAATGACAGATAATAAAAGAACTACTTCCTATTTATATTTATATCCTGGGCAACAGAGCCAGGACCCCACCTCAAAAAAAAAACGGAATGCTAAAACATTTTGATTACATAATAGTTTAGCCAGGCAGGCTGGCTTGTTCCTGTTAATTTCAGCTACTTGGGAGGCTGAAGCAGGTGGATAGCTGGAGCCCAGGAGTTTGAGGCTACAGTGAGCCCTGACTGTACCATGCACTACAGCCTAGGCAACAGAGCAAGACCTCATCTCAAAAAAATAAAAATAGTTTACATTGATGGTTTTAATCATAATCATAGCTAACATTATTAGGCACTAAACACTTTACATTATTAATTAATTCTCATACCTCTGAGGTACATATTACATAGGCAGAGGTGCAGAAAAGCTAAGCAACGTGGCAAAGTAAAAGATTTTGGATTTAAAGTCAAACCCCATGCTTGACTACTAACCTACTGCATCATAAGGCAATTAAATGAACTTTTCAGTCATACATAACACCTCATTCCTCAAAATATTACTAAATCAGGAAATGCTAATGCCATAATATTAAATACTCCTTTTTTTTTGAGACACAGTCTTGCTCTGTCACCCAGGCTGGAATGCAGTGGCACAATCTTAGCTCATTGCAACTGCCGCCTTCCAGGTTCAAGTGATTCTCCTGCCTTGGCCTCCAAGTAGCTGGGATCACTGGCACTCAGTACTATGCCTGGCTAATTTTTGTATTTTAGTAGAGATGGTGTTTCACCGTGTTGGCCAGGCTAGTCTCAAACTCCTGACCTCAGGCGATCTGTCCATCTCGGCCTCAAAGTGCTAGAATTACAGGCGTAAGCCACTGCACCTGGCCTATTCAATACTCTTTATGAAAAAACTTGGTTTCTCCCTCAAATCAAAATGAAGACCAACAGCTTACATATAATTCTTAAAAATCAATCAAAGGTATTAAACAAAGACTTAGGCACAACAGCAAAAGAGCAAGCTACTAAGGAAAAAATAAAATAAATTTCATCAATATTTAAAACTTTTATCCTTCAAAAGACATCACCAAAGAAGAGAAAAGACAACCCACAGAATGAGAGAAAATTTATACAAGTCATATATCTAATAATCAACTGTATCCAGAATAAAGAATTCTTACAGCAATAAAAAGACCAAAAAAAAAAAAAGTGAAAAATAAGCAAAGATCTGAATAAGCATTTCTCCAAAGATATATACAAATGTTAAATAAGCACATGAAAACATGTTCAACATTACCGGTCATTAGGGAAATGCAAACTGAAACCAAGAGATACTACTTCACACCCATTAAGATAGCTTAAATAAAATGGAAAGATAATAATCATTGGTGAGAATGTAGAGAAACTGAAATCTCATATTGCTGGTGGGAATATAAAATGGTAGAGCCAGTCTAAAGAAGTCTGGTGGGTCCTCAAAAAGTTAAACATACAAGTTGCCAAAATACCCAGCATATCATCTCCTAGCGTGACCCAAAAGAAGTGAAAACATATGTCTAAACAAAAACCTGTGATTAATGTTGATAAGCAGCACTATTCACGACAGTCAAAAAGTGGAAACAATACAAATGTCCATCAACTGATAAATGGATAAACAAAATATAGTACATTCCATGAAGTATTACCAGGCAATAAAAAATAAAAAAGAATTAAGTATTGATATATGCTACACACCATCGGCCTTAAAAACATTATGCAATGTCAAACGAGCCAGTCACAAAATCGTATTTTAAGAGCCCATCCGGCCAGGCACAGTGACTCACACCTGTAATCCCAGCACTTTGGAAGGCCGGATCACAAGACCATCATGAGGTCAAGAGATCGAGACCATCCTGGCCAACATGGTGAAACCCATCTCTACTAAAAATACAAGAATTAGCTGGGCATCGTGGCACGTGCCCATAGTCCCAGCGACTCCGGAGGCTGAGGCAGGAGAATCGCTTGAACCTGTGAAGCAGAGGTTGCAATGAGCCGAGATTGTGCCACTGCACTCCAGCCTGGAGACAGAGGGAGACTCCACATCAAAAAAAAAAAAAAAAAAGAGCCCATTCATATAAAATGTCCAGAACAGGCACATGCAGAAAAGGAAAGTATATTAGTGATAGTGAGAGGCTAGAGGAGAGGGAAGGAATGGCAAGTGACTGCAAATGGGAATAGCATTTCTTTTAGGGATGACGAAATGTTTTAAACTTTAATAGGGGTGAAGATGGCCCAATTCTGTCAATATACTACAGGTTATATACCCCTTACCCAAAACACTTGGGATTAGAATTGTTTCAGATTTCATATTTTTTCATATTTCGGGAAATTTGCATTTGTACTTCTAGGCTGAGCATACCAAATCCAAAAATCCAAAATCTGAAATCTGATGCACAGTAGAGCATCACGTTTGTACTCAGAAAGTTTCAGATTTTGGTGCATTTCACATTTGAGTTGGGATGCTCAATATCTAAAATCACTGGATTGCACAAGTATACAGTGTGTGACTAAATTAGTCATTAAATGTTTTTGTTAACATTCAAAATGTGAAATTTTATACTAACCTCTGGAGAATGCTGTATTTTCATATAAAGTTGGGGTATATTCATTCAAAGTAAAGAATTAAGACAAATTCATATAAGATTATCTTAAAACATTTTAAAGTTTTACTACTCACATGTCTTACGGAGCTTGAAGACTCATTTCCAGAAGATAACTGGCGCCAGCTAAGATTTCTTCTACCATAATTTGGATATTTACGCCTACATGTCCTTTGTCTAGACTGTGATGCCAAAACCACTGAATCTGACTGAAACAGAGAGAAACATGCAAATGAAAATCAACACCTAAATACGGACAGTATTAACAAAATGGGCATTCTGTCAAGTTTCCAAAAGGATTTAAGGCAAAATGAAAAAATAAAGGCTTAAAAAGAAGTAATATTTTTGCCATACAGTTTTAACTCAAGCTTAGTAATTTTACTTTTAAAGTCCTTAGAAAACATGAGAAAATGCACATTAGATGGGCATTTTTCAAACTATGTTGTAAGTCAACTGGTTTACCACAAATGAAGGAAAATAACAATAACCTGAATAGGATGTCACCTTAAAGGTATAAATCTCAAATAAAAAATATATATTCATTTATTATGATGTAGTAACCAACCTCTCAAGGAATGTCTGAATATCTATACACATAGGTATAGAGAAAAAAATGCTCAACATACTACTCATCAGAGAAATGCAAATCAAAACCACAATGAGATACTGTCTCACTCTAGTCGGAATGGCTATTATTAAAAAGCCAAGGCCAGGTGTCGTAGCTCACACCTATAATCCTAGCACTTTGGGAGGACAAGGCAGGCAGATTGCTTGAGCCCAGGAGTTTGAGACCAACCCAGGCAACATGGAGCAACCCTGCCTCTACAAAAACAACAACAATAAAAAGAAGATCAAACAAAAAAACAAAAAATTAGCTGGGCATGGTGATACAAACCTGTAGTTCCAGCTACTAGGGAGGATCACTCGAGCCCAGGAGGTCGAGGCTGCAGTGAGTGAGCCATGACTGCACCACTGCACACTAGCCTGGACAAGAATGAGACCCTATCTCCAAAAAAAAAAGGGTGGGGGGAGGCATCCCAAAATAGCAGATGCCAGCAAAGTTGCCGAGAAAAGAGAATGGTTATACACTGCTAGTAGGACTGTAAATTAATTCAACCACTGCGGAAAGCAGTTTGACAGTCTCTCAAATAATTTAAAAAAGAATTACCATTCGACCAAACAATCCCATTACTGGGTATATAACCAAAAAAATATAACTCATTCTACCATAACAACATATACACACCTATGGTCACTGCAGCACTATTCACAATAGCATACGACATGGAATCAGCCTAAATGCTCATCAATGGTAGACTGGATAAAGAAAATGTGGTACATATAAATCACGGAATACTACCCAGCCAAAAAAAGAATGAGATAATGTCCCTTGCCGCAACATGGGTAGAGCTGGAGGCCATTATCTCAAGCAAACTAACACCAGAATAGAAAACCAAATACCACTTATTCTCACTCACAAGTGAGACCCAAGCATTGAGTACACATGGACAAAAAGACGGGAAAAACAGACATCAGAACCTACCTGAGGGTAGAGGGTGAAAAGGATAAGGACCAGGAAACTACATATCAAGTATAATGCTTATTATCTGGGTAACAAAGTAATCTGTACACTAAACCCGTGACTCACAATTTACCTATATAACAAACTTGCACATATATCCCTGAAGCTAAAAGTGTTTTTTTAATGTTCAAATACTAACCATAAGTATTTTCAGGTTTTAAATTTTTAGATAATTTGTCTGTACTTTTCAGTTTTGAATTTTTTAAACATATTCTCATCAAAACAGAATAATCTTTCAAAACTAGCCAAATAATTATGTTTTTTTTTTTTAAAGGCATGCAATTCCCAAACCACCAAAGGCAGATGAGATTACCCAATGAGCGCATGTTCCTTAAATGATGGACAAACCAATTTTCACATGAGTAGCCATCTGTCTAATGAGCATTGGTCAGTTTTAGAATTTCAACATTATCACTGGCTGATCTCAAAATGAACTGAATTTTCCTTGTCAGTACTGATTTCGACAAAAACTTGTATTAATGAGTTTCATGAGTGATAACAGGTTAACACGGAAATGGACCAAACTTTCACTAAAAAAAGCTAGAAAATCTGGCCGAGCACAGTGGCTCACACCTGTAATCCCAGGACTTTGGGAGGCCAAGGCAGGTGGATCACCTGAGGTCAGGAGTTAGAGACCAATCTGGCCAACATGGAGAAACTCCTTCTCTACTGAAAATACAAAAATTAGCCAAGCATAATGGCACACGCCTGTAATCCCGGCTACCCAGAAGGTTGAGGCAGGAGAACTGCTGGAATCCAGAGGCAGAGGCTGTAGTAAGCTGAGATCATGCCACTGCACTCCAGCCTGGGCAACAAAGCAAGACTCCATCTCAAAAAGAAAAAAGAAAACTCGAAAATCTGGCAAAACGTATTTTTTAACAAATCTGTTTAAAGGCACAATATGCCTACAAAGGCTATGACGAACTACAGAACCAAGATCAAAAAGAGAAGATATATGTGTATATATTTTTATTTTTATTATTTTTGCCCACAATGAACATCATAATGTATATATATTTTTTTTAATCCTAGAATTTCATTCTGGAAGAGGAAGCTGAAAGGTTTAGCAAGAAAGCAAAAAACACAGACTAAGTTATGAGTTAGATTAATAAAAATTGCAATTCATAGCCTAAGTGTAGGGGAATCTCCCAGGCTTTGGCTGTTAGCCCAAAGGGCTACAGCCTAGACCTGTAAGTAAACTACAGATAGAACAGTAATCCCACGGAACTAAAGCCCATGCCTGTTTGGATAAGGCAATATAGGCTTGAGAGTGGTCCTAGCAGGCTGCCAGAAGCAAATGTAAATCTTCTCTGGGGACATAGCCATCCTGCGCTTCAAATCTTTTCTAACAAATATTTAACAATCAAAAAAGAAACAAAAATATTATTAAAAAGGACAAAAATCAACAGGCAATAGAAAATGGTCCACGGGGAAACATAACATGGAAAAAATGAAATTATCTGACCTCAGTTTTTAAAATAGCTATGGTTCATTTCCAAGTAATTAAAACAATGAGAACTTTAGTAGATAACTGAAAACCCTTAAAAAAAAAAAAAAAAAGAACCAAATGAAAATTCAGAATCAAATAATGTATTAACTAAAATTAAGAACTCAGTATCACTGTTAGGCACTAGGCAATTTTTCAAAAGTTTTCTAACTACTCCTTTCTAACTGCTATATAAACTTAAGTCTACTATTTTAAATCCCAAACAGAAAACCTTAATAAGTACTCCAGTTCAGATGAAAGTTACTGATAGTTTTATTAATTTGCTAAGAAAACAAAATTTACCTTACCTTATGTGAGAGCTGGAGAGTCTTTCTTTTTCTTCCTATGATATAAAGATTTCTTTCCTCTTCACCTTTCTCTAATCGGAAGTCTTCCAGCTTCCTACAAATGTAAATACCCAGTTATATTAACTACTGAACTGTTGGATAACTAAAGGATATAAACAATAAAAACTGGTTTGATTCTATGAATAAATTTATATACTTTTAAAATTAATACACAAAATCTCTAAGGCAAAGCTTGTTAAAAATTTATATGAATATAAATAAAATCTCAGAGGCAATTAGAAGAACCTATTTTTCATATGTGATGCAAAAATATTCATTCATTTGTTTTCTGATTGGTCCTATTCGAACCAATTCAAACAGGATATCCCATAATAGCTTTTTAAAATGTCCTCATGATTTTCCAGTTTGCAATTCCTTTCTCTAAAGAAAAAATAAGCAAAGAGTCTGCCTTCTCCACTTTTATTCAAACCACGTTTGATAATTTATAGAAACAAGAATAGCAATGTTACCGGTTTTTTTTACCACCTATATTTCATTCATGTGATACAAGAAGAAGATTGTTATTGTGACCAATTTCAAAGCAAAGGACCTGCCACCATGAAGAAGGTACTAAAAATCATTCTGTTTCTCTGGGAAAGACTTCCTTTACTACAAAAGGGACATTATTAAAAACACATGGCTTTTATGTTTTTGTTTCATTTAACATCTCAATGGAAAAAGTTTTAATACTGACATCTTGACCATGCTCCAAGGTATAACTGGACACTCGACTGAGTGTAAATATTTTAAGGACAAAAACTGATTTTTAAGAAAATTGCATTTTTCTCTAAGTATGCCTGAGAGCCCGCACTCAAGATTACAGTGACATATTATTTTATCCAATGGGGATTTCTAAAGTAGACTCAAACTTTCACAAGTTGTCAGGTTCACCACTTTATATGTTTAGGGAACTATGTAACAAGATTTTCAACTTGCAGCCCAATGCAAGTCCCACCTAATATCTGTATGTTTCCGGCCAGGAGTGGTGGCTCATGCCGGTAATCCAAGCACTTTGGAGGCCAAGGCGGGCGGATCACCTGAGGTCAGGAGTTCTCGACCAGCCTGGCCAACATAGTGAAACCTCATCTCTATTGAAAATACAAAAAATTAGCAGGGCATGGTGACGGGCGCCTGTAGTCCCAGCTACTCGGGAGGCTGAAGTAGGAGAATCACTTGAACAGGAGGCGGAGGTTGCAGTGAGCTGAGGCTGCACCATTGCACTCCAGCCTGGGCAACAAGAGCAAAAATTCCATCTTGAAAAAAAAAAATTTATAATGAATCCAGTTTCTACCATTATTGGATCAAGACAAACTATGTGCCTGAATCCTAGGTACAAAAAGAATTACTTAGCCGGGCGCGGTGGCTCACGCCTGTAATCCCAGCACTTTGGGAGGCCGAGGCGGGTGGATCACGAGGTCAACAGATCGAGACCATCCTGGTCAACATGGTGAAACCCCGTCTCTACTAAAAATACAAAAAATCAGCTGGGCATGGTGGCGCGTGCCTGTAATCCCAGCTACTCAGGAGGCTGAGGCAGGAGAATTGCCTGAACCCAGGAGGCGGAGGTTGCGGTGAGCCGAGATTGTGCCATTGCACTCCAGCCTGGGTAACAAGAGCGAAACTCTGTCTCAAAAAATAAAAATAAAAAAAAAGAATTACTTCTACTGGTAAGCAACATTATATGCTTATAGCTCTGCACAGCCATCAACTACCTTTATGTTTTTATCTATTACCTAAATTTTTCACAATGGACACAAACTTTTATAGTCAGCAAACAAATTTTAAATACTACTCTTGATCCTTATCAAATAATATCCCAGCACACAGTTATGCAAAATTCACCCTTGTTTCCACTACTGGACTTGTTTCCATGGGCACTCATCGCCACATCTCAATCAAGTATCGCCTTTATAAAAATCTCACATGAGCTTTATTCTAGAATACAATGTTAGAAAGGGCTATGTTTCTTTTGTGTGAAAATCATGGCAGATAGCTAGCTGGCTCACAAAACCCATTCCTCCTTTTCTTCCTTAGAAACACAATCACAATTTTTATCCAGGCTCTTTGCTGCTCTAAATAGACACTGTGTTACCTACTCTCCTCCTTAGCTTAGTATGGTCAAATGACAACATTCTAGTCAGTGAGTTATAAGCAGAAATGCTACACGGCTACTTGAAGAAAGTTCTCTTGACTAGAAATGCTCTTTTTGACATCTGAACATCTTTCTTTTTCTAATCTCAACCCACATCACAAATACAGGTATGTAATGGCTACAGCTTCAGCAGCAATCTCAGACTATGCGGTGGCTTTAAGACTAGAAGCCAAGGCTGGATGCAGTGGCTCACACCTATAATCCCAGCACTTTGGAAGGCCGAGGCAGGTGGACCACCTGAGGTCAGGAGTTCGATACCAACCTGGCCAACAGGGTGAAACCCCATCTCTACCAAAAATATAAAATTAGCTGGGTGTGATGCACATGCCTGTAATCACAGCTACTCAGGAGGCTGAGGCAGGAGAATCACTTGAGCCCAGGAGGCAGAGGTTGCAGTAAGCTGAGACCGCACCATTGTACTCCAGCCTGGGTGACAAGAGCGAAACACTGGTCCCCCCCTCACCACCCAAAAAAAAAAAAAAAAGACTAGAACCTAAGCTCCATGATGGAGATGAGAAACACAGGAGCCTACGTTCCGGAATAACTGTGGGACCACTATTCCAGCCTTAGATTATTTCTAGTCTTCCTTTAGATAAGAAAATAAATGCCTGTGTGTTTAAGAAACTAATTTTTGAGGTCTTTCTCTCCTGATACCTGTTTACTTCCCTTGGTTTTGATAATGAAAAGTATCCCAAAATGACACTTTGGGGTCTGATGACCATAAGACTTAGACACCAATTTAAAATTTAATTATAGCATACTATATGCATAAAGATTTTCTGCATTTCTCATCACAATTCCAGATTTGGCTTTTCACAATTTTCTAGTATACCTAGAAAACCTTCCCAAATTCACAGAACAATACATAAGTACTATCTAATACCGCTCAGCATTCACTGAAACTCTTCTGGTTAAACATAAAAAAACACAAAGATAAATTTACAAAATTATCTTCAAGATATTAGTTATTATGAGACACAAACATGAGAAAATACTGAAACACTTTAGATATCACTGAAAAAAGTATTTGCTGTTTCCAATAACTCAAATCAATACATTATAACTCGGCACCAAAGACCCTACCACCCATATTATAATGAAATATCATTTCTTACTAAAAGAAAATAGGGCTGCTTAAAAGACTAATTTCAGATATAAGTCAAAAAATTTTAAGTGTATTAGGCGAATGGGTAAAAGAAAAAAAAAATTACAAGATGATCTATAACATCTTCCCCTCGAAGTGTGCTATGAAAAACTACTAGTCATTTTGAAAGGACAGAGAACCCTGAAAAGAGGCTCCTCAAGAGGATTTAAAAAACATCAATAAAGAATATCAGAAATAAGTTAAACCCTAGCTATGTGATTTATACATTAAAACCACACACACAATGGAATAAATCTTTATTTTGAGGGGAAATAAAGCAAAATAATCAAGCATCTACTCTGCCTTTCTTATACAAACTTTGCTACTGGACAATTAAGTATAGTTGGGTAGATTTCTTTTTTAGAAATGTCCAAGATAATAAATGAAGGAACTTTCATAGAGGTAAAAATCACAATTTTATAACAGCTAATAAATTAATGAATCTAGACATTAAGCACTGATAGCTACTAAAATCACAAAAAGCGAGGCTACTTATGTGTGCCTTCTGACAGAATTATACCACTTATAAAGCAGTCTTGCAAAAAACTGAAAACATTTATGACATCTGAAACAACTGGAAATTTAAACACAGCCTGAATATTTGGTTATACTGAGAAATTATTTTCTTAAGGTATGGTAACGGCATCATGGTTATATTTTAATTTCTTATCTTTTAGAAATACACACTAATATGCATATGGACAAAAATAATATGTTTAGGATTTCTTTCAAAATATTACTGAAAGGACAAAAGTGGGTGCGTGCGTATGGATGAAACAAGACTGGGTCTGATAGCCTTTACCATAGTAAAAAAAAAAAGTTAGAGAATAATTTTGCCATTTTCCTAAGACAATTAAAACAGTAAGATTCCCACTCATTACTAATATATTTATACAATTATTTACACAATTAATGGAATGCAGAATGTGTAAATAACCATATGAATATATTTTCATAGATAGAAACATTAAAAATAGATATCCTAAAACAAACCTAAATATGCCTAGTGGTACCTCTGGTACAACCACTCTTCGCTTCCATGCCTGCAGGTCACGTTCTGTAGCAATCTGACTGCGTGGAGCATTTTGATGCATCTGACGAACACCTTCAACTTGTCCACTACGACGCAGACCAATATTTGGAGGAGACTGAATGTCTAAGCTCAGTCTTCTAAAACCTAGGAAAAAATGATCAGGAGGTCATTCCAATACATGCTTAAACTAAAATACGTTTAGCATGTAACAAGCATATGTTTGCCTAAGACACACACCAAAAATAAAGAAATAAGATAGTATCTTCTGAAAAAACTTTATGAGAAAAATCTTCTTTTAAGTTTTTATTATTTTATTTTTTGTGCAGACAACGTCTCACTATGTTGACCGGGCTAGTCTCAAACTTCTAGCCTCAAGCAATCCTCCCACCAACGCTTCCCAAAATACTGGGATTACAGGCAAGAGCCACTGCACCCAGCCAGACAGAATCTTAACATGCCTAAGATCAAAATGTAGAATACTGAACAAACATTAACTATTAAACCTCAATTTCAATTTTTACTAGACTTTCTGAAATTATAAAATGTACAAACATTTCACATTACATTATACATGCATTCCTAAAAACTGTGCCTTCTTCAAAATTGCACACTTAAAAAAGTCTTTTGGAAAAATTTGCACTGAAAACAGATACCTGAAATCAAGGTGGTTTTACAACAAGAGCTCTTACAATAGTAATCATGATTCTCAAGAGATAATCTGAGCCACCAAGGCAAGTAGCTGTCAAGGTGGTTATTAAAAAGGTCAAACAAGTAAAATGTTGTGGTAAATACCAGCGGTGCTAAAAATAGAGCTGGGCAAGTGGGTGATGAGGCAATGAAGACAACAGCGAAGCTCTGAGCCTGAGGGGCTGCTGTGAAGATGGGTACAAGAGACTGAGCAACCGCCCATGAGCTAGAAGCCAGAGACTAGCCTCTGAGGAGCAAGTCCTAGGCAAAGTGTTCATTTTCTTACATTATAGGGTGAAACGGCTAATGCAACAGAAAAACTGAGGGTTATATCGATTCTTGTGGGAGACTAACAAGCACTACTCCAGCTATGACAGCTCTTCTTGCCTAGGGAAAAACCCACGAGTGAACACAACTTCTGCACTCTTCTATGTACCACACTCTATTTACCAGTCATATGTGTACCAATGTGCATTAGAGAATACACTATGCTTCACCAACTTCAAATGACATTAAATGCCCCGCTAGTAAACCAAACATCTATATTAAAATACCATATATTGAAGAAACATTTTTGAATTGGGAAATAAATATAAATTCTAAATTTAACTGCCCAAGTCATAGCATTATTCTCCAACAATTTGAAAAAACATGCATAAAGTTATTTATCACACCACTTATAACAGCAAAGTATAAGAAACAACCTAAATTCCCACAAACAGATTATGAAGATTAGTTACTCCACATGGAAGAGGAGTATGAAACTATAAAAAAAAGGATGAGGCCGGGCGCGGTGGCTCAAGCCTGTAATCCCAGCACTTTGGGAGGCCGAGGTGGGTGGATCACGAGGTCAAGAGATCGAGACCATCCTGGTCAACATGGTGAAACCCCGCCTCTACTAAAACTACAAAAAATTAGCTGGGCATGGTGGTGCATGCCTGTAATCCCAGCTACTCAGGAGGCTGAGGCAGGAGAATTGCCTGAACCCAGGAGGCGGAGGTTGCGGTGAGCCGAGATCGTGCCATTGCACTCCAGCCTGGGTAACAAGAGCGAAACTCCGTCTCAAAAAAAAAAAAAAAAAAAAAAAAAAAGGATGAAAAATTCTGTGAACTGATAGATTCCTAGAATATACTGTTAAGGCAATACAGTAGGTGCAGAAGAATGCATTTACATATCTTGTGCCTCTTGCCATGACAGACTGAAGACACAGCATCAACTATTCAGCATTCCTGCCTAAATGTTTAACCTGAGTCAGGGAGGAAATAATCAAACAAACCCAAATTACGGGAAATCTTGTGAAAATAACAGGCCTGAACCTTTCCAAAGTACCAGTGCTCTGAGGAAACTTTCCAGGATTAAAAGAAATAATCATTAAATGCAATGAGTAGGGCTTGATTAAATCTTAAATTAAAAACAAAAAGGCATGAGGAAGGACAATTATTGGGACAATGGGGTAAGTGTAAGTAAGGACTCAAAACTAAGTAACAGGGCTATATATCAACATTATCACATTCAGCTTGTTGAATGTGATAACTGTATTATGGTTATGTAAGAGAATATCTCTAGTTCTTGGATGATACAGGATGAAGCATTAAGGTATAAAGTGTCACAAGTCTTAAATGCTTCAGAAAAAAATATACAGGAATGTGTGTGTGCACACATACATTAAAAAAAGCTAAAGCAAGTATAGTAATATAAGGAATCTAGTTAAAGAATACATGGGTGTTTACTGTATACTCCTTCCAACCTTTCTTTCCAAAATAAAAAAATAAAGTCTTATGCTGTAAATTTAAGAGAAAAAAAGTACTACTTTAAATGAAAAATGAAACTTGTAAATCACATTGGACTAGAAACAAAGAGGAAACTGAATTAGAAATCATAATCTGAACTTGTGGCAGTCTGACAAACTTGCCCAAACAAGTTAACACAAAGGCTTGAGGGTTTTTTGTTTTTCTTTTTTCTTTTTTTTTTTTTTTTTTTTTAATCTTTTGAGACAGTCTCACTCTGCCATCCAGGCTGGAGTGCAGTAGCACGCTCTCAGCTCGCCGCAACCTCCGCCTCCTGGGTTCAAGTGATTCTCTGCCTCAGCCTCCTGAGTAGCTGGGATTATAAGTATCTGCCACCACGCCGTAGGTAATATATCCTACCAGCCTGTATTTTTCTTTGGCTTTTTAAAAATACAAAAAATTAGCCAGGCATGGCAGCATACATCTGTAATCCCAGCTACTCAGGAGGCTGAGGCAGGAGAATCACTTGTACCCAGGAGGCAGAGGTTGTGGTGAGCTGAGATCAGCTCTAAACTCCAGCTGAGTGGATCACTTGAGGTCAGGCGTTGGAGACCAGACAGGCCAACATAGTGAAACACCATCATCTCTACTAAAAAATACAAACATTAGCCAGGCATAGTGGCACACACTTGCAATCCCAGCTACTTTGGAGGCAGAGGCAGGAGAATCACTGGAACTCAGGAGGCAGAGGTTGCAGTGAGCCAAGATCCCACTGCACTTCAGCCTGGGTGACAGAGTCGGACTGTCTCAAAACAGGGAGAAAAAAAAAAACAGTGACAGGGTAAACAGATCTGAACAAACCATCTAGAGAACAGCACTGAGTGACAGAGAGCTAAGAAATAAATTTGAGCAAATATATTTTAAATAGTTTCCTTCTCCACATAAAGGCATACTTCCCTGACTATAAATTTACTTGTTCAAAGTAGGTTTCTGTAAATTATTTTCCCATTACTTTCCATTACAAAACAAGATTAAGAGCACATAACAGAAAAGGCAAATTCTACAACAGGCAAGTAGAAACATTTGGCCAAAATAAAAAAATTTTAAGCAGATATTTAAGTTGGTGGCTGGGTTATTTAAGTTTGTGACTAAGTGCTCCAGGCAGGCATGAGATGGCAAGGACTGCTTCTGTGGCACTACTAGCATTTTAAAGCAGTGCCTCTAATCATGAGCAAACATTTACCTTTCCCAGGATTCGTTTTCATTTACATAACAATCACATGTCCTCTAAATTATTTCTACTATCTACTTCTACTTTTAAGGACTCAACACTGAAAACTCACTAAGTTTTCAAACTTTCTAATTAAATAAGAAAAAGCATACTCTACCCAATTCCGTTTTTCAAAAATTACAAACGTTAAAGCAAAGAAAGGCTAGAACTATTGTTTTCTTTTAAAAACCAATTTGTTATTCGTTCCTGTTTAACACAATTTTGTAAATACTATGTTTTTAGAGCATAAAAGGCTTCAGCAGTACTTGAAATACCCATTTGTTACTACATCGTCTTATACCTAATAAAGTTATCTTCAAACTGCTAATTAAGTTGTAAAAATACATTGTTTACTTAGGTTTCTCACATCACATGTACCTGCCAAAGACTTCATTTACTCTTTAATTTCAATGCAGTCATATTCAAGTAAAATATTTCTCATTATTTATTACCTCTCCGGGGTGTTTCTTCACCATGTGAAAGTCCACTTGGAATAGTATCCTGATCTGCTCCCATTCTCTGATCTTGCTGCTGCTGCAACTGTCTTATCATTCCATCAAGAATACTCGATTCTGGGCTGCGTTCATCATTATCATTGGTTTGCAGACTTATAATTTGTTCAATTACCTCTCCATCACCTACAAATTCAGTTAATGAATATATCATCATATAAAAGCAGAAAACAAAAACAATTCATTATGATACAAATTAAAATACATTAACAATGGTCAGAATTCCCATTTTTGAAAAATAACCAGTTTAAAAAGATACTCTACACATTCGCCAACAAGTCAGAGAAAAAAGATTCAAAACCAACAAAAGTCTTCCTGTAGAGGACTAAATACTATAAAAACTTAAAAGCAGCCTCTGAAATTCCTGCAAGTGAAAACATAAAAACATATTTCTGTAAAACTTTATTATGCTGTTTCACACTAATACCCCTCACTATACTCGATATATTTCACTAAAATCTTATTACTGAGTCTCTAACTGGAACAGAGCAACTATGGGTGACTTCCATTGTAGAGAAAAATCACTGACATTTAATTTCTTCTCTACTGTCTTAAGAGAGGAAAAAAAGGGAAGTAAGGGTAAGACCTTTTTAAGCCTTCGACAACTTTAGCTCTCCTCCTGCCCCAAGAGTCCTCAGAGAACAGTGCAACTGATGGTGGTAATTACACAAGCCTCTCCCACTAATCTCAAATTACTCTTAGATATGTTTTTAGCATAGCCAGTACCCATAATTCTTATTTCAAGTAATTTATTTTTATTTTTAAAATAAAATATTTAATTTTAAGTATCTTTGCTTCTTTATTTTTCAAATAATGAATTTTCAGAGATATTTAACAGGTTCATCCACTAGTGTTGCTGGAAAAAAAGGTTGTGGAATCTGGAACTATATCTAAATATTAACATTTTCATGCAAATAACTCCTAAGTCCTCTCACCATAAGACACTTATATAAACAAACTCAATATATAAGAGAGAACTCCAGCCTGACCAAGATGGAGAAACCCTGTCTCTACTAAAAATACAAAACTAGCCAGGCATGGTGGTACACGCCTGGAATCCCAGCTACTTGGGAGGCTGAGGCAGGAGAATAGCTTGAACCCAGGAGGCGGAGTTGCAGTGAGCCAAGATCGTGCCGTTGCACTCCAGCCTGGGCAACAAGAGCAAAACTCCATCACAAAAAAAAAAAAAAAAAAAAAGGGGGGGGGGGTGCCAGGCACACTGGCTCACCCCTGTAATCCCAACACTTCGGGAGGCCAGGGCGGGCAAGATCACATGAGGTTGGGAGTTCGAGACCAGCCTGACCAACATGGAGAAACCCCGTCTCTACCAAAAATATAAAATTAGCTAGGCATGGTGGCGCATGCCTATAATCCCAGCTAGTTGGAAGGCTGAGGCAGGAGAATCACTTGAACCCAGGAGTGGAGGATGTGGTGAGACAAGACCGCGGCGTTGCACTCCAGCCTCGGCAACAAAAGTGAAACTTTGTCTTTAAAAAAAAAAAAAAAAAAAACCCAGAGAATTCCCCGCTCTTTCTTTCACCCACTTATAAAGAAAACTCTTTTTTTAAAAAAGAAAAAAAAAGGGAACCCAGGGCATGGTGGCTCACACCTGTAATCCCAGCACTTTTGGAGGTCAAGGTAGGTGGATCACTTGAGGTCAAGAGTTTGAGACCAGTCTCTACTAAAAATACAAAAAAAATTAGCTGGGCCTGGTGGCACACACCTGTAATTCCATCTACTTGGGAAGCTGAGGTAAGAGAACTACTTGAACCCAGGAGCCAAAGGTTACAGTGAGCCAAGATCGCACCACTGCACTCCAGCCTGGATGACAGAGTGAAACTGTGTCTCAAAAAAAAATAAATTAAATTAAAAATAAAGGAGATTAATAAGATAATAATCAAAAGGAATGCAAAGATATAACCTGCCACCATAAAAACAGATAGAGAAACTGAAAAATATAGTATTACGGGGTGAAGGAGGGGGTTTCTATCCTGCTACCTGAGCAAGACTCCCTTGCATATCACTGTTAATGCCTTTGTTTTACTATGGAAATCAATGAAGAACTTAAAAGAGCTAAATGTCGTATCTCTTAACTTTGTCTTTAAAAATCAGTAATTTTTAATCACTCTCAAAAATTTGAGCCTTAATCTAAAAAGTTAAGATTTTAATCAGAATTGCTAATATAAAATTTCTAAGATTACAACATGATACCGAAGGGAAAATGGTAAAGATTTCTAATCGTCACAAGCCAAAATAACTTAAGCCTATATAATTTTTCTTTTTTTTTTGCGGGGGGGGTTGGGGGCGGTGGTAGAGACAAGTGCTTGCTATATTGCCCAGGCTGGTCTCAAACTCCTGAGCTCAAACAATCTGCCTGCCTCAGCCTCCCAAAGTGCTAAGATTACAGGCATGAGCCACTGCACTTGGCCGTAACTTTTCTTTCATAGCACAGAGCACTTAACTGTTAACTTCTCAAATATCAGAATGTTAACTGTTTCTACTGAAATACTGAAGGAGGGTTCTACTCATGAAAGCTTAACTGCTACGGCAAGTGTCCTTCTGCCATTAACAACTACAATAGCCGGGCGCGGTGGCTCAAGCCTGTAATCCCAGCACTTTGGGAGGCTGAGGCGGGTGGATCACGAGGTCAAGAGATCAAGACCATCCTGGTCAAAATGGTGAAACCCCGTCTCTACTAAAAATACAAAAAATTAGCTGGGCTTGGTGGCGCGTGCCTATAATCCCAGCTACTCAGGAGGCTGAGGCAGGAGAATTGCCTGAACCCGGGAGGCGGAGGTTGCGGTGAGCCGAGATCGCGCCATCGCACTCCAGCCTGGGTAACAAGAGCGAAACTCCGTCTCAAAAAAAAACTACAATACTGGAAAAAATATTGTAAAACAAGGGCTTTCAGACATTGGACAACAGGCAGCACAAGACTGTGATCCCTGAGAGAAGAGGAACAACGAGGCAAACCCTTTGACTGCTCCAGGTTACTGTCTGGAGGTAATTTCCAGGTTACAGAACAAAATAGAGAACCCAAACAGCATCCAGAAGTCTGAGTTGAGAAGACAGAGGTCAGAGTTTGCTGGAAGTGGAATGTTAAAATATGCAGGGCTGAATATCAGAGGAGAGTGAATTGCACACAAAGCTCCAGAGATCTGTATGAGGTCCAATCAATTATTTCACTAAATACTGATATGTGGCCAGGCACAGTGGCTCATGCTTATAATCCCTGCACTTTGGGAGGGGGCAGATCAGTTCAAGACCAGACTGGCCAGCATGGTGAAACCCCAACTCTACTAAAAATATAAAAGTTAGCCTAGTGTGGTGGCACACACCTGTAGTCTCAGCTACTTGGGAGGCTGAGGCAGGGGAATTGCTTGAAACCTGGAAGCAAAGGTTGCAGTGAGCAGATATTACACCACTGCACTCCAGCCTGGGCAACAGAGCAAGACTTTGTCTCAAAAAATAAAAATAAATAAAAATAAATAAAGACTGATATGTGTTCACATGTGGTAGAACTCCATTACTGAGGGAAAAATATTAAAAAGCAGTATGCAAAAAAATTTGCAGAGCTCTCACAGGACAGAAATAGCTCAAGTTCCCAGCAGCTAGAATAGACACCTCATAATACATAGAAGTGCTTTATGCACACTTCCAGTTTTAATATCTAGAATATTAAAAAGACATATACTCAAGAGCAAAGCAGTAAGGAATATAATAACTGCTGGTGTTTTGGTGCCACAGCCAAGATTTGTGCTACAGTGCCAGAATTTTATTTCTACCCGGTACCTGTGATCCATGAATACAAATGTCAACACTGTAAAAAAAATTGTTGTATTTTTAAAGTATTGTTTTGAATATGGCTGTGACCTTGCAGACTCCATAAAAGGATGCAGATATACCTATGGGTCTGCAAACCACACACTGACAATCTGCCCTAAAGCAACTATTACATACAAATAAACAGGTATTGCTAATAAGACATTAGTAGAGGTCATATGGAATACAAAAAAAATCCTCGATTCCAAAGAAGAAAAAGGAAAAAAACACAAAGAACAAAAAGAATAAAGAAGAAACAAATAGGAATACTCTATGTTTGAACTCATACCATATGAACACTTAAGTGTAAATACTCTATAATTAATAGAATACTTTTACTTAAATTCTAATTAAAAGTTATCAGGTTTGATATATTGCCTCCAAGAAATCTATTTTAAATATAAAGACACAGATCAATTGGAAAAATTGACAAAGATACACCATGACAATACTAATCCAAAACAAGCTGAACTAGCTATATTAATATGAAACAAGACGCTTCAAAACAAAAAACATTTCCAGAGACACATTTCATAATGAGAAAAGAATTATTTTATCCAGAAGACAATTCAAACTGTATATGGATGAGATTTAAAATACATCAAGTAAAACTGAGTAAACTGAAGAGTGAAATAAGGTAAATTTCACATGACAGTTGGATATTTTGATCTGGATGACAGCTCCAAACTGGAAAGAAGGCTTTAACCATCAGTGAGTGTATAAATAAATGATATATCCATCTATTCCATGGGGCACTATCAGTCTCAATCAATAAATAGGAACAAACTACTGATACATGGAACACCACCAACAAATCTCAAAAGCACCATACTAAGTCAAAGAAGCCAGACACAAAAGATTATACTTTATGGCCTGGTGCAGTGGCTCACGCCAGTAATTCCAGCACTTTGGGAGGCCAAGGTGGGCGGATTATGAGGTCAAGGGATCGAGACCATCCTGGCCAACAGGGTAAGAGACAGAGAGACAGAGAGAGAGAAAGCATATAGTAATCTACATTAGGCTTTACCCTTATATATAGCTGGTGATTCAGTTTCAGTAAATCTTCATCCAAACAAAACACTATTTCTCTTTCATATCTGTAAAGAGAAACACTGTCCTACTATTAACACAAACAAAAAAGAATTTTGCACTTGGCTAGGACAGAGAAAGTCCAAGACAAACCTAAAAATCCTACATTCAAAAACAGAAAGAAGTGACTAAAAAGTATAAGGACTTGGGAAAGGACAGCTTCAAAAGGCTCTGAGAGTCAAACCGAAGGATTATGTGAGTAACATATAATAACTCACTAATCAGCCAGAAGCCCATTCAAAAACTTAATGAACCACATAAATAAAGGGGTGAACAACAGACAGTCATATGCAATGATACATATGATGCAATGATGGAATAATGACGAAGTTAGAAAATAACCACTTTGCAATATTCACAGTAACAAATGATTCAGGCAAAACTTATCAATGGATCCTCAAACTTGAGGGTAAAATCTGTCAATCTATAGGGTATTGACATATCTTGCCACAAATTACTATTAATTACAAAGAGAAAAATACTAAGTTTATAGTGAAGAAACTTGGCAAACACCACATTAACCAAGTGTTCAAAAACATTATTACCAGCAATTAGACAAACTAAAATCATAAGTATCCTGACAAGATGCTCTATTAAGACTGGAACATCATTTATGTTGTATTCTGTCAAAAATGCATAACTGGAACCTAAACAAGAAGAAGAAGACAAACCCAGATGGAGGCCTTCTACAAAATTCCTGACCTATAATCTGCAAATACACCAATGTCATGAAAGTCAAAAACTAACAACCTGCTCCAGATTAAAGGAAATTATGGAAATACAACTAAATTTTGTACTTCATATGTGGTCCCAATTAAAAATTGGAAGAACTTTAAAATCTATAGCAGACATTATGAGAATAACTGGAAATTTTTGGTTACACACTATAGATTTGATAATAGTATTATTTCAGTGTAAAATGTCCTAATTGTCATAAGTGTCTATGGTTATGTAACAGATATCATTCTTATTTAAGGGTAAATGATGCATGAGTTTCAGAACTTAAATGATTCAAAACAATATACAGAGGAAAACAAATACTGTAAAATATTAATAATTGGGGGAATCTAAAGGTAAGAAAATTATACTATAAAGTATTTGAGTAAAACGTTTTTTAAAAAAAACAAAAAAGACTGTACTTACTTGTTGCCACATAGCCCAGCTGTGGAACCAAATGTTCATCTGCACAATTTTCTCGGCCTGGTACTAATCTCTGATACTTAGTTGGATGAGGATTTCCATCTACATCTACCAAGAATGGTGGAGGCATAAGATGAGGAGCCTGCTGAGTTTGCTCATCTAAGACATAATTATTAGAATCTCTAATAAGTGGTCGATAGTCAGTATGGAAGAACATCTGATCAGGAATCTAGAAAAATGAAGTTCACAGGATGACATTCTGAGGTTTATACATATTAAAGGAAACAAATATTAAATAATTAAAATTAGAAAAACAATAAAATCCAATCAGTCAGCTAAACTATTTCCAAAACACAGCTCATAACTACTTATTTCCAAAACACAGCTCTTAACTACTACTTGCATGCTCCAACAAAGTGTTAAAAATGACCTTTTCATATGGTTTGCTGCATCCAAAACCAAATATCAGAAGGTGTCCATGAGAATCTGTACAAGCAAAATGCTGTCCATCCTGTGAAAACTTACAGTCAAACACAGCTCCATGTCCTTGTCCTTCAATCTAGGAAACCCAAAGGGAAAAAAGTTAGGACCAATTCCATGCAAGTGAACTGCTATATAAACTTTTTAACGTGGATAACCTGTGACAATATACACCTCCTGGGGAAAAAAAATAATTTAAAACAAATGTTTCAGCCGGACATGGTGGCTCGCACCAGTAATCCCAGCACTTTATGAGGCCGAGGCAGGCAGACTGCCTGAGCACAGGAGTTCAAGACCACCCTGGGCAACATGGTGAAACCCTGTCTCTACTAAAGATACAAAAAATTGACCAGGCATGGTGGTGCGTATCTGTAGTCACAGCTACTCAGGAGGCTGAGACATGAGAATCACTTGAACCTGGGAGATAGAGATTGCAGTGAGTCAAGATAGTGCCACTGTACTCCTCTGCACTCCAGCCTAGGTTACAGAGCAAGACTCTTTAAAACAAAATAAAAACAGATGTTTCATTAAGGATATCCATCAATCACTATTCCCAAAAAAATAAAATTCATTTTAGATACAACTAGCCTAGAAAAAAGTCTTCAAAGTTCTTGTAAGCATTAGTTCTCCAAGTGCTCAAACGAAGGCTAACAACCCAAACCAAAGTGAAGGCTTCTTTTATTTCTTATAAAGAATTTTAGATGGGCATAGTGGTTCACACCTGTAATCCCAATACTTTGGGAGGCTGAAGTGAGCAGATCACTTGAGATTGGAGCTCGAAACCAGCCTGGCCAGCATGGTGAAACCCGTTCTCTACTAAAAAAAAAAAAAGAAAAAAAAAAAAAATACAAAACTTAGCTGGGCATGGTGGCAGGCGCCTGTAATTCCACCTACTTGGGAGGCTGAGTTAGGAGAATCACTTGAACCCTTGAGGCAGAGGTTGCAGTGAGCCAAGACTTCGGCCATTGCACGCCAGCCTGGGCAACAGAGAAAAACTCCATCTCAAGGAGAAAAAAAAAAAAAAAAAAACAATTTCAGAAATTTTTGTCTTAGTACGTAATAAAAGGATAAGAAGCTGGCCAGGTGCGGTGGCTCACGCCTGTAATCCCGGCACTTTGGGAGGCCGAGGCAGGTGGATCACGAGGTCAAGAGACCGAGATCATCCTGGCCAACATGGTAACACACCGTCTCTACTAAAAAAAAAATAAAAAATTAGCTGGGCATGGTGGCACGCACCTGTAGTCCCAGCTACTTGGGAGGCTGAGGCAGGAGAATTGCTTGAACCTGGGAGGCAGAGGTTACAATGAGCCAAGATTGCGCCACCGCACTCCTGCCTGGCAACAGAGCAAGACTCCATCTCAAAAAAAAAAGGATAATAAGCTACAAAGTAAATGATTAAAGATTAACAAAGTTTGGTATTCATGAACTAAAATGAACGCTTTTCTAGATTTTAAGGAGGGCGCTACTTCAGCTCACTGCTAAGATGACTAAGCACCATGGAAAACTTGGCAATGCTGCCAAGTCTCAAGCATACGTATAAAAAAGCCTACGGCCACAAGTACCTAATCAAACCACCAGAGATTTCAGAAAGGATGCTCTAAGTTTATTATGAGTATAACCTAAAATAGATGACTTTTTTACTAATTCTTCCTTTTAAACTGTAAACTATTATTAGTTTAATATCATCAATTTATAGTTATTTGGTTAACTCTACAGTGTAGAGCTATGCATATTTGTTGTCTGCACCATTAACTTTCCAGTAACCAAACGTTACATGTGTTTAGTGTTTGAAAAATGAGACATCTCCTCGTAATTTCCAAAACAAACTCATATCCATGCCCAAATAAGTCACTGCTTGAATAGTGACACTTCACTATTGCTACACTGCACATGAATGGATGCCAATTAGCAAACATGGAAAAAACAAAGTTACTCAGATATTCAGAGGACTGCTAAATAAGATGTGCATATTAAATCATATTCTCTTAACATGAAAAGGAAAAAACTACACACACACACACACCCTGGGCAACATGAGGAAACCCTGTCTCTACTAAATTATTAAACATGGGAACATTGGTTCACCCACTTGGTCCTTATATGAGCCACCTGTGCCACAGCACAACCTGCATCTATGTACCACTTTGCATCCCTGACCTGGGACCTTCAGTCATAGTAAAGCAGAGGCTGGTAGGGAGGGAGGAGCAAAATTTCAAAGCTGGAGATGGTGGTGGCAACTCTTCCCATCATACATGTGAACTTAACTGCTCCAAAAGCTTTTTTTTTGAGTCGGAGTTTCGCTCTTGTTACCCAGGCTGGAGTGCAATGGCACAATCTCGGCTCACCGCAACCTCCGCCTCCTGGGTTCGGGCAATTCTCCTGCCTCAGCCTCCTGAGTAGCTGGGATTACAGGCATGCACCACCATGCCCAGCTAATTTTTTGTATTTTCAGTAGAGACAGGGTTTCACCATGTTGACCAGGATGGTCTCGATCTCTTGACCTCGTGATCCACCCGCCTCGGCCTCCCAAAGTGCTGGGATTACAGGCATGAGCCACCATGCCCCGGCCCTCCAAAAGTTTTTCTATAAATACCTGCCGAGATCAAGATTTTCTCAATTGGGCAAACCTATCTAAGCAGATCAAGGAAGACTTGGTGTTTCATCTGTAATTTGAAGTGTCCTATACAATGATTTCTAACAAAACGTAACCTGCAACTGTGTCTGGAGAACAATGTCACATTAAAGTTTACTATATATTCATGAAATATTGTTGCTATTAGTAACTGACAAACCTGTTTAGTTTATCTGGAATTACAAAATATGAGCCTATCTGATGAGCAGTAAGGAAAACTCAGTAAACAAGGCCAATTTTTGCTGTGCAACTGGAAATAAGATTATTGTCGCCCACATGAAACACTTTTCAGATTATTCTTTGGCATAGAGTTTTTCCACTTATATTCTACCTAAAGCCTAAATTAATGTAGTTTTTTTTGTTTTGAGGGGTTAAATTCAGGATGTATTATTATTACTGAGTTTGAAAGGATAGTTGAGGTAACTGATGTATCCTATGGATTTTAAAACGATAGAAAAATTGTCCAAGACTGTTTAGTTCTCTTTCCAATAATTTGAATACACTGAATCACAGCTTTCAGAGATGCCTACATGTGTATTTGTGCTTCAGTCATACTATTTGAAATGTTTTAGAAAGCATTTAATCAAAGGTCTAAGAACTTGAGAATCAAAGGTGTAAGAATGCATCAACAAGTTGCTACTACACTACCTCTAAAATTCATTACAATTTGAATTGTAACTCAGTATAAACTGAAGAGTAATTTCACAAAATGTCATACACATATAAAGCCGTAACAATGTTGAAACTCTTTTACACAGTAATTCCTTCAGAATTTATTCTAGGGAAATAATCAGATACAAGGCTGTTCAAAGAGTTATTGCCACACATATTTTGGAAACCACTTAACTATTCAACAATAGGAAAGAAATTGTGTAAGTTAATTTTCTTCTGAGACAGGCTGAATTTAAACTCAAAAATATAAGTGTAAATTCTTTAAAAACAAAAATTTCAAACAGAGGTTTTTTACATGACATAAAAAAAGATTACAAAACTACGTACGAGCACATTTATCTATGTAACAAACCTGCACATCCTGCACACACATGTAATCCCTGAACTTAAAAACTGGAGGAGGGGGAAAAAAAACACTGTGCAAGGATGTCAACTAATAAATATGGAGGGAATTATGCCATTGGAAAATCTTCAATGGAGATTTTCAATATTTGTGGTGAATAATGAGAAACAGGATATTTAATCACAAAAGAGCTACTGGAAAAAATTTAATAATTATATTGAGAGGCCGAGGTAGGTGGATCACCTGAGGTCAGGAGTTCAAGACCAGCCTGGTCGACATGGTAGAAACCCGTCTCTACTAAAAATACAAAAAATTAGCCAGTCCTTTTGATTTGGGTAGCCAACAACAACAACAAAAAATTAGCCAGGAGTGGTGGCAGGCAGCTACTCAGGAGGCTGAGGCAGGAGAATCGCCTGAACCAGAAGGCGGACGTTGCAGTGAGCCAAGATCACACCATTGCACTTCAGCATCGGCCACAAGAGTGAAACTCCAGCTCAAAAATAATAATTATTACTACAAAAAGAGAAGATAATTATTTTATGGTGAAGAAATCTGGGAAATACTGCCTTAACCAAATATTTAAAATTATCACCATGGCTGGGCACAGTGGCTCATGCTGGTAATTCCAGCACTCTGGTAGGCCAAAGCAGGTGGATCACCTGAAGTCAGGAGTTAGAAACCAGCCTGGCCAACATAGTGAAACACTGTCTCTATTAAAAGTACAAAAAATTAGTTGGCCATGGTGGTGGATGTCTGTAATCCTAGCTACTCAGGAGGCTGAGGCAGGAAAATCGCTTAAACCTGGGAGGCGGAGGTTGCAATGAGCTGAAATCGCACGACTGCACTCCAGCCTGAGCAACAAGAGTGAAACTCCATCTCCAGAAAAAAAGTTATCACCATTAACAGGGGGAGAAATAAATACCATGTGCCTATTAATACGATTCATAAAGGACACAGTATCATTTATGTTTTATTTCATTTTAAAAAGTGTAACAATCTAATCATGAAAAAACATCAGACAAAACTGAGGATACTCTGTAACAGTACTTGTTAATATTCAACAAAAGTTAAAGGTCAAGAAAGAGGAAAAAGAAGAAAGGTTGAGAGGGGCTGGTGACAGTGAAAGAAAACTAAAAAGATACAACCACTTAAATACAATGCATGAGCTTGAACAGGATTCTGGTCCACGGAGCAAAATATAGCTATAAAGACTTTACTGGGACATACCTAATTAGGTAACACTATTTTATCAGTATTAGATTTGCTGATTAAAAACAATAATTATGATTATGTGGAGAAATTCTTGGTTGAGTTTCACTCTGTCGCTGAGGCTGAAGTGCAGTGTTGCTATCTCAGCTCACTGCAACATCCACCTCCCGGGTTCAAGCAATTCTCCTGCCTCAGCTTCCCAAGCAGCTGGGACTACAGGCCTGTGCCACCACACCCGGCTAATTTTTTGTATTTTTAGTAGAGACGGGGTTTCACCATGTTAGCCAGGATGGTCTCCATCTTCTGACTTCGTAATCTGCCCACCTCAGCCTCCTAAAGTGCTGGGATTACAAGCGTGAGCCACTGTACCTGGCCTATATGGAGAAACTCTAAAAAGATACAATAGAATCCCCATTTGGTTCTAGAATATATACATAAAAAAAAAAATTTTTTTTTAAAGAATATATCTATGCCAAAAGAAAAACAGCTGATCAAAGGCTGATCAGCAGATCAATCATCTAGAGATTTTTTTAATTTTTTTTTTGAGACAATGTCTCACTATGTTGCCCAGGCTAGTCTCAAGCTCCTGTGCTCAAGCAATCCTCCCACCTCAGCCTCCCAAAGTGTTGGGAGTTCAGAGCCACCACACTCAGCCGAGGGTTACTAAATATCCAGAAACCAAATATTAGTAATATTTGGTGAATACTGAGTATTAATAACGTCATTTCATTATATCACTATTTTTACATTTCTATTTGTTATCAAATATTTCAATAAATTCAAGTAGTGAAAAGGTTTTTATAATTGCCATAATTTTACCAATTTAAACACACAGGCACAAAAAAAGCTAAACAGTTAACTTAAAAATGTCTCCCTCAGGCTGGGCATGGTAGCTCATGCCTGTGATTCCAGCACTCTGGGAGGCCGAGGTGGGCGATCACGAGATCAGGAAATGGAAGGCCAACTTGGTGAAACCCCATCTCTACTAAAAATACAAAAATTAGCTGGGTGTGGTGGTGCACACTTGTAATCCCAGCTACTCCAGAGGCTGAGGCAGGAGAATCACTTGAACCCGGGAGGCAGAGGTCACAGTGAGCTGAGATCACCCCACTGCACTCCAGCATGGCGACAGAGCAAGACTCCGTCTCAAAAAAGTTTCCCTCATATAAATCAGTCATACAAAGAATTTCACCTATGTATGTAATCAAATCAAAGATGAAATTCTTGGTATGACTGATATATATATATATAGCATACATACAGCCACATATATATATATATATATATAGAGAGAGAGAGAGAGAGAGAGAGAGACAGAGAGACAGAGAGAGAGAGAGACAGAGTGTGCATGCATACAGCTATATTCAGTAGGCTTTGAAATATTTAGGCGGCTTTGAAAATGCTGATTTGTAAAAACAGAAACTGCCAAAACAAGCAGATCAATTTCTGGCTAAGCCTTATAATCCAATATTCCATTCAAGCATTTATTAAGGTATACCTCACTTCACTTACCATATTAAAATAATGTTTCATCTTGGTACCTTTTGTAATATCCCATATAAATATGCTGCCATCGTGTCCTGCAGATAACATAATTCTGGAATCAAAGGGATGTGTCTCCAAAACAAATACTTCATCAGCATGTCCCTTTATTTAACAAAGTCATAACATTAAGGAGGGTTTACAAGTTACAAATTGAAAATTTAAAAATACATACTGTTACAGCATATAAAGACTTTTAAAGATATATTGTCAACAATTTATATATAATAAAATTTCTAATCATTTGATGGTTTAAATGAACAAAAACAGCTTGCTCAGTATATTATTTTTATAGCTTCAAAATTACATAGTTCAAAAAAATCTCATTTGTTATATTGTACCAGAAACTACCTACCAGTAAGTTATGAAGCAACTGTCCAGTGTAGGAATTCCACACTTTGAGGACATGATCATTCACAGCTGTGACAACAATGCTATCATTTTGATTCCAAGCTATCATTGTTACTTTAGGCTTCATAAACCTTTCCTCTTCCGAAGATAAGTCCCTAACAAAAAAAGACACAACATGTAACTTATTTAGATGGTTGGCTATACAATATATACAATCCTTCGTCAACACAAAAATAAGGAAATCCAACCCATTTGCCTATCTCGTCAACCCTATAGTGAGTTCATCACAACTGACCCAGAACAGATTATCTAGAAACAGTTTAGGGCAAAACCTGAAGGAAGGAAGGAATGATTTACAAACAGTACAGACACTGAGTAAGGGCAGATTTTAAGACACCATTACAGCTTATGAAAGCAAAGTTTTTCCTCCCTACTTGTTTTCCATTATTTCCTTCCTCTGACTACAAACCTATTGCTAACACTTACTTTCAACTGTTTCTCTCCACAGAAGACAAAAAAAATTTTAGGAACATGAAAATAAGGTAATTCATATTCATATCCCCAATGTTTAGAAAAATAACTGACACACAGACGTTCAATCTGAACTGTAAATGGAACTATTCTCATTTCTTTATATAACTTTCCTACAGTCTACTCCTTTGGCAAGAATGGTGTTGGATACACATGCCTGGAACGTTTTGCATCCTTTATAAAACTGATAGGCAGGGCTGGGCGCGGTGACTCATGCCTATAATCCCAACACTTTGAGAGGCCAAGGCGGGCAGATCACGGGGTCAGGAGTTGGAGACCAACCTGGCCAATACCGTGAAACCCCATCTCTATTAAAAATACAAAAGTTGCCGGGCGCAGTGGCTCAAGCCTGTAATCCCAGCACTTTGGGAGGCCGAGGCAGGTGGATCACGAGGTCAAGAGATCGAGACCATTCTGGTCAACGTGGTGAAACCCCATCTCTACTAAAAATACAAAACATTAGCTGGGCATGGTGGCTCATGCCTGTAATCCCAGCTACTGAGGTTGAGGCAGGAGAATTGCCTGAACTCAGGAGGCGGAGGTTGCAGTGAGCCGAGGTCGCGCCATTGCACTCCAGCCTGGGTAAAAAGAGAAAAACTCCATCTCAAAAAAAAAAAAAAAAAAAAAAGTGACATGTACAGCATCTCTGTATTATAATGGTCAACAGTGGGGTAGGGAAGGCATAAGGGTTCTGAAATAGCAGAATATATTTTAAGAAATTACAAGCACATAACATGTTTTAATTAAAGAATACAGGCCAGGCACAGTGGCTCATGCCAGTAATGCCAGCACTTCTGAGGGGCCAAGGTGGGCAGATCACTTGAGTTCAGGAGCTCCAGACCAACCTGGCCATCAGGGTGAAATCGTGTCTCTACTAAAAATATAAAAGTTAGCTGGGAGTAGTGTAATCCCAGCTACTCAAGAAGCTGAAGCAGAAGAATCACTTGAATCTGAGAGGCGGAGGTTGCAGTGAGCTGAGATAGCACCACTCCATCTCAAAAAACAAAAAATAAACAAAAAAAAAACTAAGAATACAGCTATACGAATATAGAATGAGTGCTATAAAACAGCTATCTATGTAACTACAGAAAAGCACAGAAGAGAGAATAATTCTAACTAGATTGAATGGTGGTTGGGAATAGAATAATATTAAGAAATAAAATGGAACAAAGGCAAAGACTCTACTCTTCACTTTAAAAGGCTTTGGAGGGCCGGGTGCGGTGGCTCACGCCTGTAATCCCAGCACTTTGGGAGGCCGAGGCGGGTGGATCACGAGGTCAACAGATCGAGACCATCCTGGTCAACATGGTGAAACCCCGTCTCTACTAAAAAAAATACAAAAATTCAGCTGGGCATGGTGGCGTGTGCCTGTAATCCCAGCTACTCAGGAGGCTGAGGCAGGAGAATTGCCTGAACCCAGGAGGCGGAGGTTGCGGTGAGCCGAGATTGTGCCATTGCACTCCAGCCTGGGTAAACAAGAGCGAAACTCCGTCTCAAAAAAAAAAAAAAAAAAAAAAGGCTTTGGAATTAATAACTTGGCTTTTTTTTTTTTTTTCCTTGAGGCGGAGTCTTGCTTTGTCACCCAGGCTGGGGTGCAGTGACTCCACCTTGGTTCACTGCAACCTCTGTCTCCCAGGTTCAAGTGATTCTCCTGCCTTAGCCTCCCGAGTAGCTGGGATTACAGGCACATGCCACCACGGCCTGCTAATTTTTTGTATTTTTTTTTTTTTTTTTAGTAGAAGCGGGGTTTCACCATGTTGGCCAGGCTGGTCTCAATTTCTTGACCTCAAGTGAGCATTTTGGCCTCCCAAAATGCTGGGATTATAGGTTGGAGCCCCATGCCAGGCCTATTTTCTCATGAAAGAAATTATAGAAAAAGTCCCCCCATGGATGGAGTATGGCAGCAAGAAAACTAAACAGTTTTCAGTCTCATTTAAAAATTTTCATTCAAGGTTTAACACTGATGTTTCTATTTTGCTTAATCAAACAATAATCCATAGGTGAATCTGATTTTAAGTTATCTTCACCCCCCACTTCTTGTGGGGTCAAGTAAATGATGTTCCAAAGAAATGATGTTGTCATATTATCAGAGATCACTTACAGACCAATGCTGCATACTACCTATGAATCTCAAAAAACAAAAAATAAATAAAAAAAAACTAAGAATACAGCTATACGAATATAGAATGAGTGCTATAAAACAGCCATCTATGTAACTACAAAAAAGCACAGAAGAGAGAATAATTCTAACTAGATTGAATGGTGGTTGGGAGTAGAATAATATTAAGAAATAATATTATTTCTTAATATGAATAATTTCCTATGAATTTCCTGTGGTTTGCTTTGTGAAGAGGGTTAAATTCCCATCTGTGATACATTTTGGAATGAATGGGTTTGATGCCAACACCTTAAAAGATATCCCTCAAAAAACAAAAGGACAAGAGTCACCAGCTCCCACACAAAGTAAAACATGGGAACCTAATTTTAACAGTGTTAATAAGGAGCAACTACCAATAGGTCACTGAATCAATAAGGCCTGTGTTATAACAGCCTCTTCTCCCTAAAAAACGGAAGCAAGTGGCACATACTTATCTGAGAACCAGTTTCATCAATACTGTTGTTGTTTTATCTGTCCAAAGATGAGTAGCAATATGTTACCAGTTTCACTACCTTTTGGAGTTTTGGATAACATTTCTATGCCATTATATTTACACTTTTTAATGAGTTAATTTTACGTGAAATGGCCATTCTAACTCTGTAAAATCAAGTTCATACATAATAAAGCTTGCCCATAAAAATTTTTTAATTCCCTTTAATTATTTCAACTTATCAAGGACTGATAGTATTCACTTTCATACTGAGACGTAACATTTTTATATGTAATGAAGATTTTTTAATTTGTTTATGAACAAGGTTTATCAAATTTCTAGTATACATACTTTTCATTCTCTATCACAGATAATTCCACAAAAATAGTAAGATCAAATTTATCTTGAAATTGCAATACAATTCTCTGAGCTACAGCAGAGAATGTAAGTCAATTTCTGCTACTAAAAACAAAGCATTTGGGAGGCAGAGGCAAGAGGATCACTTGAGCCCAGGGGTTTAAGGAAAGCCTGAACATAGGCACTATAAAAAATAAACATAAAAATTAGCCAGACTTGGTGGCACGCACTCATAGTCCTAGCTACTTGGAAGGCTGAGGTGAGGGGACTGCTCGAACCTGGGAGGTCAGGGCTGAAGTGAGCCATGATGACACCACTGCACTCCAGCCTGGGGGATGCAGTAAGACCCTGTCTCAAAAAGAAATAAAATTAAAAATAAAGCAGACATGATTTCTAAAAGACAAAATGTGGAAACATTTCTCAGAAAAACTGATATGAAAAAGTACAAAGTTAAACTCAGGAAACAAATTCTAAAGTAAAATTTACAACTTTTTTTTTTTAGATGGAGTCTTGTTCTGTCGCCCAGGCTAATTTTCTTTTTTAACCTTAACAATAAAGTATGTTTGCTTACCCTAATCTCCAGTCTTAGCTCCAAGCTTACTTTGAAATTTTTTCAAAAATCCTATCCACAGAAAAGTACAATTTCCACATTTAACATGCTTCAGTTAATTTTATCTTTTTTATTTGCAGAAGCTTTTAAATGCGACACCTAAGAAGGTCAATGCTTTGAGCAATAGAAGAAGCACATGTTATTCTTTGCTACATAAATGTAAGGATAAATTTATCTGGATATCTGTTCACCAGATACGAAGTAGGCAGCTACTCACTTAAACCACAGCTCTTCATAATAGAAGGTAGCTATAATCCCCTCAACAAAATAACCACTGAGAGACAGAGACACAGATCAAACACTTACGATGCACCTACTTCTTTTTTTTTTTTTTTTTTTTTTGAGACGGAGTTTCGCTCTTGTTGCCCAGGCTGGAGTGCAATGGCGCGATCTCGGCTCACCGCAACCTCCGCCTCCTGGGTTCAGGCAATTCTCCTGCCTCAGCCTCCTGAGTAGCTGGGACTACAGGCATGCGCCACCATGCCCAGCTGATTTTGTGTATTTTTAGTAAAGACGGGGTTTCACCATGTTGACCAGGATGGTCTCGATCTCTTGACCTTGTGATCCACCCACCTCAGCCTCCCAAAGTGCTGGGATTACAGGCGTGAGCCACCGCGCCCGGCTGATGCACCTACTTCTAACAATCCCAACTTACCCTGAGATTCTAGTAGACATATCCAATAAAATGCTCCTCCATTCTAACTGCTCAAATCTCCAAATCCTTGCTGTTCCATCTCTGCTACCACTTAGGAACCTTAAAACATTTAGAACAGGATCTTATTATATTCACACACTTTCCATCAAGGGCTACAGTAAAAATCACATGGAAAAAAGTCTGTAATGTAGCTGTCCTGACAACAGGACAATCCAGTTAATTCAAAAGACAGGTATAACGTTAATTCAAAAGACAGGTACTTAGAGCGTAACTGGGTGGGGAAAAAATCTGATTTGCTATGATTTGCCTGGCCCTATGAAATAAAACACACCTCAAACTCAATCAATAGCTCTTCAAACAGATTAAGTTTTGAGAATACAATGTGCAAGAATGCAGAGAAGAAAAAAAACAAAAGTTTTGAAGTATAGGAAAATAAGCGCAATAGCTCCATTTTAAACATCTTAGTTATTAATTCAAATTAATTCATGCTGGACGCTGTGTAAAAATCAATCAATCTATTAACAAATTAAGGTGTCAACAATTAGCTTAGCAAAGGTACCTGACACACAATGGAGACAAAGGAGGAGGATATCATTTAAGTAATAATTTCTTTGCAGGATATATCACAGTGGTTTCTTGGAAAAACTTTTTTTAACTACCCAAACAGACCAGTCTGACCAACATGGAAAAACCCTGTCTCTACTAAAAATACAAAATTTAGCCAGGCCTGGTGGCGCATGCCTATAATCCCAGGTACTTGGGAGGCTGAGGTAGAAGAATCACTTGAACCCGGGAGGTGGAGGTTGCAGTGAGCCAAGATCGCGCCATTCACTGCACTTCAGACCAGGCAATAAGCGAAACTCTGTCTCAAAAAAATAAAAAATAAATAAATAATAATATAAGGGAAAAATATACAAAAAATGACAGGTTAGCTATACTATACTAATACATAGCACATTATATTTGCCTAATAGCACACACACACAAATGCACACACTTACCGATCACCATTGTTACAAAATTGGATACTATCTACTTTATCCTAAAGTAGAAAAGGGGGAAAAGGACAAATTAAAAAATGAGTATCTACATGGTCTGTGAATTTGAAAAAAACCGAAGTTTTAATACTAGAAGCCTATTTGCCTTAACAAGCAAAATTTGTACTTGTATTGCTTAGCCTCATCATTCAACATGTTTCATTGGATTAACTACAAACCTAAGACTACTACTAAAATACAGTTTTGATTTAAATGAAAGGCATATCCAACAGGAAAAAAAACCTTGCTTCTAAAATTAAAGTCATATTTATAATTACATCTGTTTAAAATGACTTATATGAAAGTGAAATGTGTGGCAAGTTGATCAAAATATAGACTTTAAAGCACCTAAAAACAAGGCATTTTCATCTGTACACAAAAAATGCTGTTTTATTTCAATCTGTATTTAACAAATAACCCCTGGGTGTGGCCCAGCTTCCCAAAAGCTTCAAACAGCAGAAAAGATGACCTGATCCCTGACCAGTACTTCAGAACACTGACAGTTTTCTATCTTACTGTATATTAATAAAACTGCATTCTTATTTCATGAGCTTGGGTAGATAAGCAGGCCCACTTAAAATCAACCCACCCAGATCAACTATCATAATCTAGATTTTGAACATAAAGCTAAAATAACCACGGTAAAATATTAGGCCTCTCAAGTGCTAATCTGAGATGCCAATGACATCCCTCCCCTTTAGATATAATTCCTCACATGCTTAAAGTTAGAATGAAATTAACAAAAACTATATTATACCTGGATACTTTCATTGTTATAAATATACTAATATCTCTAGCAAAATTTTAACTGTCAAATATAATTTGACAAAAATTTAAGACATCATTCACAAGAATGACTTATCTCAGAAATGCAACTATGATTTAATATCTTAAAACTAAGTCCCATCAAAAGGTTGTAAATGACGATTCATCTGTTCAACAGAAAAAAAATTAAAATTAAAATTAGAACGAGTAACAATGTCTCTTAGCAATAATAGGAATAGCATTAACAATCTAAAGGATTCTAAAACGTGGATGCTTACAGTGTGGCTTTCAAGTTCCGCGATTTTTTCAGGTGCTTCAAAACCCAAAAAATACATTCTGATTACATGATCAGTACTACCTGTGGCTAAAAACATACCACCTGAAAGGAAAATGTTAAGGTTTAAACATCTAATTTACAACAAATACCTGAACAAATCAAATTTCTATATTAAAATATAAAACAAGATCCTTTAAAACTAAGTTTATCTCAACAGTTCCATTTTTTAACTCACTATATAAAGCTTACAAAACCATATTTGCAGCTTTAATTAAAAAAATTAATTTGATCTGGATATGTTCACAATCTCTTTTTTTTTTTTTTTTTTTTTTTTGAGACGAAATCTCGTTTTGTCACCCAGGCTGGAGCCCCCAGTGGTATGATCTCAGCTCACTGCAACCAGGTTCAAGTGATTCTACTGCCTCAGCCTCCTAAGTAGCTGAGACTACAGGTGCATGCCACCACGCCCAGCTAATTTTTTGTATTTTTAGTAGAGACAGTGTCTCATGTTGGTCAGGATGGTCTTGAACTGCTGACCTCAGGTGATCCACCCACCTCAGCCTCTCAATGTTGGGATTACAGGCCCAAGCAACCTGGTGCGACCGGGAACATGGTCTCACTCTGTCACCCAGGCTGGAGTGCGGTGGTGAGATCACAACTCACTGTACCCTCAACCTCCTGGACCCAAGCAATACTCCCACCTAGTCTCCTGAATAGCTGGGACCACAGGTGTGCACCATGCCCAGGTAATATTTGTCTTTTTTTTTAAAGATGGGGTCTCCCTATGTTGCCCGGGCTGGGCTTGAATTCCTGGGCTGAGGCAATCCTCCCACATCTTAGCCTCCCAAAGGACTGAGATTACAGGCATGAGTCACTGTGCCTGGCCTCCCGCTCTGTATTATTAAGGGTGGCAATATGATGCCAATTAAGCACTAGTAATCTAAAAATATATTTAAGAAAAGGGGTTCTGAGGGCCAGGCACGATGGCTGGCACCTGTAATCCCAGCACTTTGGGAGGCCAAGGTGGGTGGATGACCTGAGGTTGGAAGTTCAAGACCAGCCTGACCAACATGGGGAAACCCTGTCTCTATTAAAAATACAAAAAAAATTAGCTGGGCCTGGTGGCACATGCCTGTAATCCAAGCTACTCGGGAGACTGAGGTGGGAGGACTGAACCCAGGAGGCTGAGGTTGTGGTGAGCCAGTATCGCGCCACTACACTCCAGCCTGGGCAACAAGACTAAAACTCTGTCTCAATAAAAAAAGGGGAGGGGGGCTCTGCTTTCTAAACAACATTACATACCTAGCCCTAGCTTGTTGAAGTTTTTAGATTGTATGAGGGAAAAGTCTTTGATCTAGCCTAAAAACAGAAAAGTTACCACACAAGTTCGCTGTACAAAAAATGAAAAAGAGTAATTTCACCAAGATATTATGTGTGAGAAATAAATTTAAACTATGAAACATACAGTTTAGCCTATTCGAAGAAAATCACAATTTTAGATTATCATACACATAGGACTGGCATAGGAATCACTTGTGTGGACACCTCAAGCCTCTCTTTTACCAGCCATCTCTTACATCACTGACTGACTACTACTAGAAATCAGAGAAAGGCAGAATGGAGGACTGGAAGACAAGAATAAGGCTAACAAAATGATCATCATAAATTCAACCTAATAAACATCGTAAGTCATTTAACATGTATCTAATAAAGGTTCTTAGCAATAAGGTAGTCATTTAATAAATGCTTTAAAAAAAAGAAAAACTAAGAAAAAATGTGAAGAAGTTCTTACCAACACTAAAAGAAGAACAAAGCATTTGAACGCCTGGCCTAGGCTTTTCAGTGAACTTCAGGGGACGTGGGCTTTAAAAGAAGAAGATGTTGCTTTAAAATATCTTATTTTACCACATTAACACAGTTTAAAATATTGGCTTTAATACGGCATATTTAAATATTATAATTTTTTTAAGAGACAGGGTCTCACTATGCTGCCCAGACTAGACACAAACTCTTGGGCTCAATGGAGCCTCCAGCCTCAGCCTCCCTAGTAGCTGGGGAACACAGGCACAGGACACCCAGCTATAATCTTATTTCTTTAATAGCTTATTGCATATCAAATATTTCCACGTATTACCAGGTACATTTTACAAAATATAAAAAGATCAAATTAATATTTCCTTTAACCCAATACACTCAAAATATCAATATGTAATCCAAATTAATAAAATTATAAGATACTTTAGATTCTTTCATATCAAATCTTTGAAATTTTCCAGTGTGTATCTGACACTCAAAATACATCTCAATTTGACAATTCAGTTTTCATCAAAAATATTTTATCTATATTTGGATTTCCCAAAACTTGTTGAAAACTTCACATACTCAAGTTGTTCAAGATATACTTAATACTTTTCTAATGGGCAGGCACAGTAGCTCACACCTGTAATCCCAACGCTTTGGGAGGCCAAGGTGGATGGGTCACCTGAGGTCAGGAGTTCGAGACCAGCCTGGCCAACCTGGTGAAACTTCATCTCTACTAAAAACACAAAGATTAACTGGGCGTGGTGTCATGAACCTGCAGTCCCAGCTACTCAGGAGGCCGAGGTAGTATAAGCACTTGAACTTGGGAGGCAGAGGTTGCAGTGAGCCGAAATCATGCCACTGCACTCCAGCCTAGGCGACAGAGCAAGACTCCGTCTCAAAAAACACAAAAGAAAAAATAAGGAAAAATGAATTTCTAATAACTGAATCAACTACAAGTTTTTAAATTTAAATTATCAATTCAGTTCCTCAATTGCACTAGCCTCATTTGAAGTGCTTAATGATCATGTGTGACCAGTAACTACTTACTACATTAGACAACATACATCTACAAGACAGGTCTTAAGACTCTCAAATGTTCACGCCTGAATTTCCAATTATACACCTATTTTTTTCAATGCCTTACTCTGTCTTTACAAAAATGCTAAGATAGAAAAGCTATGCTTCTTTTACAAATTAAACTATCTAAATAAATTATAAACAGGAAATAGTCAATATGGTACATATGCTATATATAATAATTAAGTTCAAAGGTAAAAAAGCAAACACAATATATAATTTCTCTTAATAATCAAACTTCATTTCATTAGACTAAACTGTAACTACATTAAAGACAAAAACTTGTTACATACTTAAAGCCACTTACCTAAATTTCAAGGATTCTAAATCCCATTGCCAAAAGCAAACTGTCCCATCAGCACCAGTGGAAACCATGTATCTTTGACAGCCTTTGGCCATCGGGCTAAACTAAAAAGTAAAACATATACAATTCAGTTTCCAGAACTTCTGCTTAAGTTACAGTTTAATAGTCTTCCAAAGTTAACTTCAATTGACATTCTAAGGAAATAAAACATAAGAAATTCAAAATATAGGTAATACTATTGTAGTGAAAAAATCATAACTTCCCCACATCGATTGATACTTAACATGTTCTCAATAAGCTATTTTCAGATCTAATAAACAAGATTGGCCAGAAAAACTTAAGCAAGGTGAAGATCTAGTCCTACTAGATATTAAAGCATATCACAGAGCCTCAATAATTAAAACAATCAGACCTAACAGGGTACATTGACAGAATGACCAATGGAAAAAATATCAAGTCCAAAACTAGACTCTATTCAACTTGGGAAAACTAACTGGTAGACTGAAAGACCAGCTTGGGCAACATAGCAAGACCCTGTCTCTATAAAAAATTAAGAATTAACTGGGTGAGGTGGCATGCACCTATAGTCCCAGCTACTCAGAAGGATAAAGCAGGAGGATGACTTGAGCCCACAAGTTTGAGGCCAAATGAGCTATGATTACACCACTGCACTCCAGCCTGAGCAACAGAGAGACCCTGCCTATTGGAGAAGTGAGAGAACCTCCATACTGTTTTCCATAATAGCTGTACTAATTTATATTCCCACCAACAGTGACTAAGAGTTCCCCTTTCTCCACATCCTTGCCAACATTTGTTATCCTTTGTCTTTTTGAGAACTGCCATTCCCACTAGGGTGAGGTAGTATCTCACTGTGGTTTTGATTTCCATTTTCCTGATACTTAGTGACGTTAAGCATATTTTCATACATCTGTTGGCCATTTGTATGTTTTAAGAAATGTCTATTCAGGTCTTTTGCCCATTTTTTAATTGAATTTTTTTTCTATTGAGTTGAGTTTCTTATGTGTTCTGGATATTAACCCTCTGTCAGATGCAGAGTTTACAAATACTTTCTCCTATCGTCAGGTTGTGTCTTCAATCTATACTGACTGTTTCCTTTGCCATACTGCTTTGCGGTTTGATAATATAATCCCATATGTCTGTTTTTTCTTTTGTTGCCTATGTTTCTGGGTATATAACCAAAGGGAGATGCAATCAGTATGTTGAAGAGATAACTGCACTCCCATGTTTACTGCAGTGCTATTCACAATAGTCAAGATTAATCAACGTAAACACCCATCTACAGATGAATGGACAAAGAAAATGCAGAATGCAGGGTACACACACACACACACACACACACACACACACCCCCACCCACCCACCATGGAACATTATTCAGCCGTGAAACAGAATACTATTCTGTCATTTGTGGTAATATGGATGAACTTAAAGCCCATTATGTTAAGTAAAATAGCCAGGCACAAAAAGGCAAACATTGTGTAATCTCACTCATAAATTTTAAAAGTTAATTTCACAGAAGCAGAGAATAGAATAGTAGCTACCTATAACTGGGGAGTACGGGGGAAGGGGGACCACAAGAAGCTGTTTCAATGGGTATTAAGTTACAATCAGACAGGAAGAGTAAGTTCTGGTGTTCTATTATTACACAGCAAGGTGAGTACAGAAAATAAAAATGTGATGGACATTTCAAGATAGCTAGAAGAGAAAATTTTGAATATTACCACAACAAATAAATGGTAAATGCTTAAAGTGATGGATATAATAATTACCCACATTTGATCCTTATACAATGCATACATGCACTGAAACATCACACTGTATTCTTTTTCTTTACAATTATTATAAGTCAACTAAAAATAAAAAACTTAAAAAGAATGTAGGTTGGGTGTGGTGGCTCACACCTATAATCACAGCACTTTGGAAGACAAAGCAAAACCCCATCTCTACAAAAAAAAAACAAACACCACACACAAAAAAGAAACGTAGCCAGTTATAGTGGCATGCACCTATAGCGCAGATACTCAGGAGGCTGAGGCAGGAGGATTGCTTGAGCCCAGCAGACAGAGGTTGCAGTGAGCCATGATCGCACCATTGCACTCCAGCCTCAGCAACAGAGTAAGACTCTGTCTTAAAAAACAAAAGGTGGGAGGTAGGGCACAGGCTGGGCGGGCAGGCGCCAAGAATCTCCCAGCCCACCCCACAGCTCACCTGCCAGTTAAAATTATAAAAAATTTTTAAAAAAGAAAAGAGGGAGAAAAAAAGAATGTATTCATCAAAGTCAAAGGTATTTAGCTGTCCTGTTAACTGTTAAAATGCAAATCTTTTCCTGTATGCTCACTCAAACTCACCATATTAACCATTTTAAAGTGCACAATTCAGTGGCATCTAGTGCAAGCACAATGCTGTGCAGCCATCACCACAATCAAAGGTCAATAGCTATTACTTCACAAGATAAACTGCAACCTCAAGGCATTTTTCAATCCTCTTGGATTTGAAGTAGGCTACCAAACTATTAGAAAATAAAAATTCTCTTTCCACTATTTGCACATTTTTGTTCGTTCTTGTCTAGCAACACTAAAAAAATGAACAATTGCAGTAATAGAATAGTGTTCATTTTCTGCAAATATTTAATTTTGTAATATTTTTAATCTAGATAAAAGTCATAATAGTATGATGAGCACCCATACTGGTCATCAAGACTCACCAATGGTTAACAGGGCACCATATCATACTGACATGAACCATCCAAATCTACCTTGCAGACATCACATCACTTCAGTCCTAAAACCGTCACTGTTTATCTCCTAACAATGACATTTTCCTACATTACTATAATATGGTTATCAATACTTAAGAAATTTAATATTGATAAAGTATGTAATCCATTCAAATTTCCCAAATTTCTCAAACACCCTTTACAGCCTTTTTCTCCCATAAAGCCAGAACCTAAATCAAGGCTCACACATTAACCCTTTTCCTGGGGTTCCTTATGAAAAAGCTCTCCACCTTTCTTTCTTAAAATCAGACTTTTGAGGAATCAGATTTGTTTCACAGACTATTTCTCAATTTGGATTTGTCTGATTGCTTCCTCGGGAGATTAGGGCCAAACATTTTTTACCTAAATAAGTAGGTAGAGAAAATATTTAACTACACATACAATGCATTTCATAGTTACAAGTCAATTCAGATTTTCTTTTTGATCAGTCTTGGTGTTTTTCTCCGTATTTACCTTCAAAATTTTCCTTTATAAAGCTGTTTAAAATATCCTCTTTTTATTATCTGAAGAATCTGTAGTGATACTCTTTTTCAAATCTGATATTTGTCACGTTTCTTTTTTGCTCCCTGATTAATCTTTTACCAGTATTTTTAGTCTTTCAAAGAACTTTTGGCTTTGTTGATCCTTGCTACTGTTATGCACATTTTCTATTCTTAATTTCTGTACTTATCTTCATAATTTATTTCTTCTTGTTTGTTCTTTCCCTAACTTCTTGAGAAATACACTTCAGCTTTTTAATACATGTGTTGGGTGTGTATTTCCCCTTCAGTACAACTTCAACTGAGTATTAATTATATATTGCTATGAAACAACTTACCTCAAAAATTTACCTGCTCTAAACAACGATAAATATTCATTATCTCATAGTATCTATGGGTCAAGAACTCAACAGCAGCTTAGCTAGGTTAAGTCTGGCTCACTATCGAGGCTACAACACACAGTCAAGGTGTTGACCTAGGCCACGGTCACATAAAGACTTAACTGGGAATGGGGGATCTGCTTCCAAAATGGCTTACTCACATGGCTATAGCAGAAGACATCAGTTACTACCAAGAAGACCTTTCCATAGGGCAGTTTGACTGTACAATCCACCTGACAACTGGCTTCCTCCAAGACCAGTGATTAAAGAAGAGTAAGACAAAAGCTATCTTATTATGGTGTAATCTCAGGAACATGAAAAGTCACACCACACTATTTTCTCAGTATCTTTAAGTTCACAGGTCAGCCCTATTTAGCGAGGAGACTGCAGTGGCCTGAGTGGCAGGAGGTAAGAATCACTGGGCACCACCTTGAAGGCTGGCTCCCAAAGAGTATACCTCCCACAAGTTTTAATATGTAATGTTTTCATTTGTAATTTTTTCATTATTAGTCAGTTTGAAATATTCTTAAATGTCTATTGCGATTTTTTTTAATGTATGGATTTACTTGGAAGTAGAGCTGACCCTTGAACAACACAGGGGTTAGGGTGTCAACCCTCCACGCAGTTGAAAATCTACATGTAATTTTTGACTCCCAAAAAACATAACTATTAATTAAGCCTTACCAATAGCATGAACAGTCTATTAACACATATTTTTGTATATGTATTATATATTGTGTTCTTATAAAAAGTAAGCTAAAGAAAATGTTATCAAGAAAATTGTAAGGAAGAGAAAATATATTTACTATTAAGTAGAAGTGGATCATCTTAAAGGTCTTCATCCTCATTGTCTTCATGTTGAATAGGCTGAAGAGGAGGAGGAGGAATAAGAGGAGGGGTTGGTCTTGCTATCTTAGGGGTGACAGAGGTGGAAGGAAATCTATATATAAGTAGATCCATCCAATTCAAACCCATATTGTTGAAGGGTCAACTACACATTACTTATTTTACAAAAAGTGAGAATTATCTGTTATTAATTCCGGCTGTTAGTAATTTCTGAATTAATTACACTGTTGTCAGAGAACATACTTAGAATTACTTGAGACTTGCTTTAGACAAGTTAATGTATTTGCAAGTAATATGTTTATATTGACATTTAATATCCTAGTACCATCTTAGTACTATTTCTTTGTTTTCTCCTTGTTTTACTTTCTTTATTAGTACATATTTCCCACCTCTACTAAGCCTAGTAGTTATACAGTCTCTTGCTATTCTTTTGGCTGTCATTCTAGAGATTCCAAAATGCATCTTCATCTTAAAGACTAACACAAATTTGTATTTTTGTATTTCCCACTTCTCAAACAATGCAAAGATCTTAGAATACTGAAGTTACCTCCTGCTGATATGCACACTATTAAATCTTTAATTCCATATATATTTTGAAGCCC